ATTTAATGAACACCACTTGAAGTAATAAGCAAGATTACGAAATATCAAAAACAAGATTTAAAGTAAAGAGGAAAAGAGGATTCAAGCAGAGGAACGATGAATTTTATTAAACCGACAATATAGAGAGATTACAACTGAACTGCGATCAAGCATATTAAAAACTGACAAAAGAGTCTCTAATTTATAGGCCACGTCCATAACCTTAGGGGAGTCCTAAAAGATATGAAAATCTAGTAGAATTAGATTAAAATTGCGTAAAACAAAAAAATTCTACCAACATCTAAAAACTGTTCTATACGGCCAAATAGAACAAGTCTATGTGGTCGCATAAGGATAAAATTCTGGCCTCCCAAGTTTCTACCTATAGGTGTGCGACCGCATAGAAGAGCTGTGTGTGGTCGCATAGGAAGGCATAGAGACAAGGAATTCTTTACTTAATTTGCAGATACAATTTGATTCTTTCAAATCCACCACGCATCTCCTATAGAGCCGGTCCTGAGGCGAGGCAGATGAGGTCTACGCCTCAAGCCAAAAACCATAGGGGGCCTCATTTCGTTGGCCCTTTAATTGCAGACTTGTAGTCGCCATTGTTGCAGCGGGAAGCTTGGAGCTGGGAGAGGAAGATGATGTGTTACCTGGACTATTTTTTTTATAAAGATTATGGGCCTTATATTTTGGACTTTTTTTAAAAAAAAAAAATTAGGCCCATCATATTATGAATTGATAATAAAATGTTGGCAGCCTCTCCCGTTCTCACTTCTCCCAAATCGGCAATTGCAAACCCTATTAGCTATTCGGCTTCCAAATCTGAAATTGTGGGTGAGTAGCTCTCCAGCCAAGTATGTGAGCCGCTGGTGCATCGTCATCCTTCGCCAGACTGCCACTGTCTCAGACTTACCCCATTTTTTCGGCAAATGAGTTTGTGGATTATGGGTATGTTATGTCTAAGTTCTTATCTGCTCTAGTGATGTAAATTTTGTTGGTGAATTAGCTTCACTGCATCCATATGGTAGATGAATGAAATAAGAAATTTACTCATTTGATTTCTGCTAATTAATTTTTCTTGAAGATATTTTTGGTCATGTTTTATATCAGATTTTTTTGAAGAATGACTTCCTTCTTCTTTTTCTTTTTTTTTCTTTTTTGCAAATTATTGTTTTAAGTGTCCTTTTCTTGCTGTTTGCTGGTCAATGAAATGAAATCCTTATATTGCTCTTATAGGGCATGTTTATTTATTTTCTGATTAAAATTAAACTATTAACATTCAAAAAGTAAAAAATGTGAAAGTTATGTCTTTTTAACAATCAAGTAAAAAAGTTGTTTTATTGGTTAGTTTTAAGTTAACAATAGGTTATATAATACACTATTGAATTTGAGTCTACAATGGTTTGGGGGGCCTAATTTACGAAGCTCGCCTCGAACCCCGAAGATCATAGGACCGGCCCTGCATCTCCATGACTCCTATTCCATATTGAGAGTCACAAACCTAACACCAAGTTCCATCAATCGGATGCCACCATCATACATAAGAAACAAAACAGATGCAATAATCCATAGTTACAATAGATAATCAATTCCAAATTCAGGAAGAACCCAAGACAGTGTAAAAGAAGTCAAACCGAGAACGGATTTCAGATTAACTGAGTAAAAATAGAAATTAAGTAAAGAAATCACTTACAAATTTCATCTTAAGTTTATTGTTTGTAAATTTGCCTAATGATTTCTTTATTGTAATAATACAAACCTACCAATGCCAACCAGTACATAACCGTAATCAAATATAAGATTGGACAGAATAACACTGAAAAGAATGAAATGCAAAAGGATCGAGGCAAGAGTTGAACTATTTGTCCTTAAGACGAAATTGCCCCCACACAGGTGCCGAAGATGGATTGACAAATGTCTTCCAAGATACAACAATCAACTTCAAGTGATTACAGCACTACAAATCAAGAGAAATGACGACTCAAATGTGTTTTGAACTCCTTCGAATGGAAAAAGAAAGGCTAATTTTATGCAGAATTTTGTCAGTCATTTTGGTGTTATATGATATGCTATGAATGCATAAAAATGGATGTGAATGATTTCTACATATAGCGGTTCAATTTATAGAGGTTGAGGACGTGTACATGAAGTGAAATAACCCAAAATTCAGCCTGTTTCTCAAAGAATCGCACATGGCAGTCTATCACTCACTTATAGCCAGGCTACAGCTTGAGTGGTGGTATCGCACATTGAATTTTCAATTTTAATTTTAAAATTATATTTTTTAACCCCACTTCGTTCTCTAATTTAGAAATGGCAAAAATACTCGTCAAACCTGATACCCGTGGGGACCCCTCCCTAACGGGGCAATGATTACCCACTTAATCGGGTAATCGGGTTGGGTACACGCCCAGCCCTTTTTTTTTTTTTACAAAAAAATTCAATACTTTATATAGAAAAACTCCACATTTTCATTAATTTTAATAGAAGATGATAATTAAGATTATCAGAGGAATATGATAAACAATAAAAATCTTAGTTTACCAAATATATTCAAGTAATTTAACTTTTAAAAATAAATTAATTTATTAATTAAAAATTTTATAACTATATTATTGTCCCACTTGAATGAATGGAAGCAATAAAATGAATTATCAAAAACTAAACAAAAAATTAAAAATTAAGTGGGTATGTAAACGGGGTAATCACCCTGACCTGCCCCCCCAACTTGTCCTGCCCCGCCCCTCCTTAAATGGGTAACGGAGCGGTGGAAGGGGGATCCCGCCCCGTTGCCATCCCTAATCTAATTCCTCATTCATCTGAAAATAGTTTTCGACGTCCAAATACACCAAATTCATCCACTAGACGAGTAGGACATGATTGATCCATTTCTCGCTCAACTCGAGCAGCGGGATCGATAAAGTTTGTTAAAAATCAACTTTCCTTAACTATTTTCCAACAACAATAAGATAAAACCAATAGAAACTTGAACACGAGCTTACTAACATGAAGATGATAAACAAAAATGTTAATTCCTACTCATTCTTAAGTTCTATTGATCCACAAAACCCTTTTTCTTGCCTCCAAAAAATGTTAACCAAGAAATCGAAGCAGGCTTGTAAGAATAATATGTCTGTGTGGAACCCGCTTAATCTAAAAGCTTAAACCCTTACATAAGGCCAAATACGTATCATCATACCCCATCATGTATAGGCATGTTTATGTATTTTTTTTTTCATCAAAACCTTACACATGTTCAATTTCATTTAAATTGATGGAAACGAAACCTAAATGACGAGATTTGAACTCAGGATTTTTGTTTGTTATGATACCATGTTGAACCAATTTAATAAAAGCTTAAAATTTTATATAGCATCAAATGTATATCATTTAACTATTGCCATCAACAGTCCGTAATATAATATTTCAAGGAATGCTACAATACTGCATTCCTTAAATGTGATATTGTTCCATCAATTCCAATTATTGTGCGCAGAAGAATTTTAGGTGAACAGCTTTCCAGAATACAGCAAAGACTTAAGTAGTTCTTATAACCGACTCCCCATAGTAATCATTTTCTGGCCTTTGGAACCAGCACCAATGGATATTCCACTAGTACAGTTACACGAAATTTCTCATTCATGTTTAGCTCTTTTGGATCATTTCAATGTGGAAGAGACCAGTCGAATTTTATAGAAGTGTTTCTTCCTATTGTCCATTTTAGCTTCAAAAAGCTCTTTCAAAATCGGAAGTTCTTTTAGAAATCAGTTTTCAAATATCAGTTAAGGTAGAAATCTGTTTTACAACAGAAGCAAAAGCAAAAGTCCTATAACATAAGATTCAAGGCTTTGGGTCTGAACTTGTATGAAAATTTCACAGCTACCATGATGAACAACCCTCAAATTCTGTACTTCAGTGTTGAACCAGTTGAAGGAAAAGAGCACAAAACTCCCATTTTGGGAGCTTTGTTATGTGGTGGTCTGGAATCCATGAGTAAAGAATGTTACAAAGATGGTATTTGAGTTTTCCACTAGTGTGATTTTGATTTTCTCCTTCTTGTGCATCTGTAATATTTTACCCGTGTTTTGATTGATTCAGTTAATGGATCTTGTGTTTCTTGGCATGGTCAGCGGTGTTAATCTTCGAATGATAATCTCGTTTGAGTTTGATTGCATTGTAACAATACTAAGGTTCTTTATTTAAGCATTCCTGGATGTAAACTTAGGCATTTAGATATCTTTGTAACGTCATCCGGCTACCTCTCTTTAGTTTTCACCATCCTCATAGTGTACAAGATAAACCCCATCTATGCCTAGCAGTAATGATTCCTTAGTCTCGTCCTGCCCTTAAAATCCTTAAGCGACTTGATTGCATGACATTTCTGTAGCATATTACAGTATGATTATGGATAAAACCAAAATGTAAGATTAGAAAAATGAACATGAGCTTATTTAGCCTAATCAAGAGATACATAAAGATGTTTGCTTCCTCTTCATTCTGAAGTTCTATCAATCAATAAACCAATTTCTTACAGAAGAGAGAAAGATGGAGGTCGGATTCCACCGATGGAAGAAGTTCTAACCATGGTAGCATGCTATAAGCAAGATTATTCAGGTCTTATTTGGCTACTCCTTTTATGGGGATAGGAAGCCGCCCTTTAGAGCAAACATTTCCAGATGTTTTATTTAACATCTTCAAGAAAGACTCCTTGGTCAGGATTGGGGTTATTTATTATTAATAAAAGCGAAAGGGCTTTTCCAGCTGGTCCGCAGGCTCTTTCATTACTTCATTATTTCATATACCTCAAATTTTTCTTTTTGGATGCACACTTGATTGATAGTAGAAAACTATTTTTTCTTTTCTTTTTTTTTTTTTTAAACAAGAACTTTATTCAATCACCCCTCACTTATGGCAGAGGAATACTGTGGGGTCAAAATAACAAAGCAAAAAAAAAAAATCCTAACAAGCCATGTAGAACTAATCAACCCATCTAGTTACACACATCAACCTTACAATTATTGCCTAATATTTGGAAAACCAAGTTTCTCCGTACGAATAATACCTCTTAACAAATTTGGTATTTGATCAATGTGCATGTAACTCATCGTGATACCATCCGCCCCTTGTCTAGCTAGAAAGTCTGCGGCTCTATTTGCTTCTCTATTTTGGTGAGAAATGGTAAAACTGATTCCATCAAGTAATTTTAGTAACTCCTCCCAATAATCCCACAAATACCAAATCCTACATGAACGGTTTGTTAACCAGTTTACCACAACAGCTGAGTCACACTCAATTTCCACCTGTTGGAAGCCCATCTCTTTACATAGCTCTACACCATTTATCATAGCACGCAACTCCGCTTCATTGCTACTTCCAAATCCGTATGGGGCAGAGAAGCCAGCAATCATATTACCGTGATGATCCCTGATAACTTCCCCACCTCCACAAGGTCCCGGATTACCAAGACTACTCCCATCAATATTTAGTTTTACCCAACCATCAGCAGGTTTCCTCCAAGAAACAAAGAGGGTTGGTTTACTCGTCTTTGAACTCATAGGCACCTCAAAGGCTTTGAGGAGTTCATTGTCTATTTTACTTAGTTTTGAGACTTTGACAATTTCTTCAGCTAAGAGGCGCAACCAAACCTTTATTTTAAGCCATACCTCCTCTGTAGATTCTCGAATCTCTTCCATATGTGCCTTACATCGCCGTCCCCATAGTTTCCATGTTATCAAGCTTGGTAATAGCCCAATTAGAATTCCACGTTGTGAGGCATTTTTTGCGCGTGTGAACCATCTATTGACTCTTGTCCACCAAGATTGTGGCCCCATATAGTGCACACCCAAGGCTAAAGATGCCCACTTCCAAACTGTCGTAGCAATATCCCCAGAGTTAAGTACATAATCAAATGTTTCCACTTGTCCCTCTCACAAAAATCACAGAGTGAAGCTAGAGCAATTCCTATTGATCTCACCTTAGTATCCACACTTAAGCAGCCAAACTTCGCCTTCCACATACAAACAGAATTTTTTTTGGGTAGAAATTTATGTCATATCCATTTCATCCAAGGAATCTCTGGACTCCTCACCCTTACAATATCCCAGGCGCTTGAAGTGGAGAAATCTCCATTATCGTTCAGCTTCCATATGATAATATCACTTCCTTCTTTTCTGGCACCAATGGTTAGTACAATTTCCTCTGCCTTTACCTCCCCCACTAGCTCTTGAAGATGGGCGAGATCCCAACCATCTTCAATCCAGCAGTCTCTAACCTTCATTCTTGGGTTGGTTACCTCCAAGGCCTGCTCATTTAATGGGCCACTAGCTAACCAGCGATCATACAAAAATGAAGCTGACCCATCTTTGAACTTCCATTTTGAATTTTCATACACCTCAGGTAGCACCTTTACGATTGATTTCCACAAGCTTGTCGGGTGCTCAGGGATTGGCTTTCCAGTTTGCTCGAAGGGCAGATTCTGCAGAGCTACTTTAATTATAAAAAGAAGTCGAAAAAAAGCTTCTTTCACACCACGTATAGGGAAATTGGAAAAGGCTACCAAACCAAAGGGGATGTAGGGGGAGATATCCAAAAGTTTGGAATAGATTGGAGATTCATGGCGGTCTTGGCACAAACTTGGCAAGATTTCAAAAAGTGCTGAAATTTTGAAAAAGCCTTGTCAGAATAATATGCATACTGATATTTTAGGCATGTTAAACTATTCTGCTTTCATTAAACATAATATGGTCCCACCAATTACGATTTTAGTGTGGAAAAGAATTTTACGGAAACGGCTTTCCAGAATTCAACAAAGCCTAAAGTAGTTCTTATTAACCGACTACGCATGGTAGTCATTCTCTGGCCTTTGGAACCAGCACAAATGGATGTTCCATCTGCATAGTTACACCAAATTTCTCATTCATGTTTAGCTCTTTTGGATAATTTTCATGTGGAAGAGACCTGTCGAAAAAATAGATCAAAGAGGCAAGAATCAATGGAACAGTCTTTGCAGCCATGGGAAGGCCAGGGCAGATCCTCCTCCCTGCACTAAAAGGTAAGAATTCGAAGTTGTTTCCTTTAAAATACAAAGACGAGGTAAGAAATCTCTCTGTTCTGAACTTAAGTGGCTCATCCCATATAGATGGATCACGCCCAACAGCCCAAACATTGACGACTACTTGAGCATTTTTTGGTACTGTGTAATTCATTACTCTCAATCGACCGGTGAGGAAGCAGCAAAGGTGCAGAAGGATGCAGCCTTAGTGTTTCTGCATGCTTCGAGATAACGTATCTGCACTAAATGGAATTTTTTTGGGAAATCTTCATTGATTTCTGTGTCAATCTCTCCACGAACATTCATCATGGCCTCGGGATTTTTCAACAGTTCTGCCGTTGTCCATTCAACAGTCCAGGTAGTTGTGTCAGTGTCAGCAGAGAACAACTCCTGTCACACAGATATACAATATTGGATTGCAATCAACATGATAATACACAACATTTTAACTTTTTTTTCTGGTTCAATCATGTGGAGTACTACCTAATCCATCTAACCAAACATGTCATAAATCATATCCATGAAATTATATCTCATGTTATTTGTCTGAACTATCATTCGTTGGACAGAAAACAATTGCATGTATAGTACTATGTAGTCTTATTTCGGCATGTCTGCATAGACTGAAATGAGAACCACAGAGAAATCTTGCACACGGAGAATATTCAAACAAGAAGATATCAGAATCGCACTCCCCTTGAAGTTGAGAAAATTCAAGTATTTGTACAATTCTGATTTCAATCTATGAAAAATTGGCAAGATTTCAGATGTACTAGTTCTGATTTCAATCTACTGATACAGATAACTTAAATTACACAACAGAGCGAGTCTTCTGCAGCAGCCGATCCATCGAATAATGATGTGATTATATGACTTTATACAGAATACAGAATTTTGTTCTCGGATGGCTGCATTTCTTTCTTTCATAAATGGCAGATGTTGAAAGTTTGTGTCAATGCATGAGAAAACTCCCAAAATGTTCATCCACAATATCGGTTTGTTTACGTTCTGAACTTTGTACGGAAAAGATTTTAATCTAGTATATCCTGGTTTTATGTTAGCGTGACCCCGTTAGTTCACTAACAACCTAGTACATAGAACTGTAATAAAAAATTATAAACTGGTCCTTAACTGCTGTCCATGGCTCTAACACCATGTTGAACTACCTCATTTAAAAGCTTAGGCTGTAGAGAGGGGACAAACTTAATTTGAGTGTGAGGATTAGGCAAGGGGATGAGAAAGAGAGCTGACCATAAACAACTGGTTGATCCGATTGTTGGAAAAACCATTATCGAGAAGGGTCTCCAAGAAATCTTGATATATAGAAGAATTATTCCCTTCTTTTCGTCTTTCTTCAAGATAGGTTCCCACATATCATATATTTTTGCTTTCAGAACAGCCGTCTTCCTGCGCATGCCTTGAATATCTAGCTTGCTGAGAAATGGATAGAAATCCGATAAATTAGGAGCAGAAGCCACCTCCGTAGCCGTCCTTATAATGTCTTTCATCCCACCATCCTTGTTCTTTTCCTCCAATCCAGTAAAGACTCTTTACATCATAGAATTCCCAAAAACATTGAACACAGTTGCAAAAACCAGTTCAGCACTTTGACCTCCATACCTTTCTTTGACACCAAAAAATTTCATTAGGCCAGTTACTCTTCTCGCGCAATCCTGCTCGAGACTCTAAAGCTTTGTTTGAGAAATGCTCAGCATGACATAATGTATGTAAAAACTTCCAATTATCATTGCAATCTTCGGTCCATCCAAGTGATGAATGATTAAGTTCTTCCTTTGTAGCTGGAAGAGCCATAGGAAAATATCAGCCTGAAAAATTCGGATCCTTTGACTTTAGGATCTCCATAGCAGCTTCTGGTGATGATCCAACAATCATACACCGAGTTTCTAGTTTTAGAGACATTATAGGACCATAAATTTTAGCTAAGTTTGTTAGACTAACATGAGGCATTAGTCCTATGTGTGGAATGTTGCCTAAAATTGGCCATGGATTTGGCTCTGGTGGTAGTTTTTGGCTGTTTATAGAGACAAAACAAGATTTTAATTTCTTGATTATGACAAAAAGTATCGGCAAAAAGAGGGCTGGAAGAAGAACGTAAATTTCTTTTTCTTTTTTTTTTTTTTTTTTTCAAGAGCCATGAGGCTTTAACTTTGGGGTGGGTGATCAGGTTATTTTTGCTGGAAATCATATGCATTTTGGGGTTGGGATGGAAGGTTTTATGTATATTTTAATTTCTCAACTCTCATAATGCAACATTATCAAAATTCAAAAATAAGTCAACTTTGTAATCTTATGTTTCGTTCATATTTGCAAGGAATTAACTGAACTTCTGCAGGCTGATTATTTTCGAAAACTTATTTTATACAAGTTTAAAGGAAAAAACAGAGTATGTGAGACATAAAAATAATGATAAATAAGTATTATTTCTTAATATTTTAAATTAAGAATCAACTATGTGAATCGATATTCGTCATCCTATCTTCTCATTCTACGTCTACCGGAGAACTTCTGTAGGAGTCGGCAATTACGTACTCATGTGATAGAGGAAAGAAAGAAATCAACAAATTGCAATGGAAACAAATTAAATCTTGTTCTCTGTACTTGGAGTCCTTTTTATGACTCGTACTTCTTTCATTGCTAAAGTTGTGATTTAAAGTAAATAAATTAGTAACGTTAAGCATCATGGTAGTTTTGGCCTACCTTAAACTACTTTATCTCGTATTCTTTATGAATTCAGTAACCGTACCTTATCAAGTGGCTGGCTTCTGGGATCACATAACCATCTCGAAGTCTTTTTGAGTTAAAGAGTAAGAAATGGTTTACTGGGCATTTGGTGCACAGAATACACTTTAAGAAACATGTATTCAATAAAATCAAGAATGATAAAAAATAAAGCATTCTTTTTAGTTTCAAGTTCCTTTTCAGATTCTTGATTTTATCGGTTATGTTGCTATATTAGTGTAATCTCACAGAACAAACTCTTGAGTCGAGCTCACAGCACAGTATACATAAGAATTCTCAAGACCAAGACAAAGGGAGCGCCGTCTGATTCTCATATGCTCTTCCTGAGAAGTCTTAGAAGACTGGTCCTTAGGTATACAAGATACGTAAACCGTCCAGTAAGATGATAAATTATGAAAGATCATTGAAACATGAACTGATAAATGTAAATGTTTGCTTCCTCTTCACTCTTTAAGTTCTATCAATCCAAAAAACCGTTTTCTTGCCACCAGAAAATATTAACCAAGAAATCGAAGCAGGCTTGCTAGAATATGTCTACGTAGAATCAGTTGATCTAAAAGTTTAAACTGTTAGATAGGGTCGAATATTTAAATAATCTCTTCAACACACCCCTCATGTTTAGGTGGGATTTATTTATTTTCTCATCAAAACTTTACACGTTTGCAACTTCATTTAAATGGATGGTAACGAAACCTAAACGACGAGATTTGAACACAGGATTTTGTTTGTTACGATACCATGTTGAACCAATTGAATCAAAAACTTAAAATGTTATACAAAGTCTTATTGTTCTCAACAGTCTGTAATATAATATTTCAAGGAATGTTACATTCTGTATTCCTTAAACATGATATTATCCCACCAATTCTGATTATTGTGTGCAGAAGAGCAAACAGCTTTCCAAAATACAGTAAAGCCTAAAGTAGTTCTTATTAACCGACTGCTAGTGGTAATCATTTTCTGGCCTCTGGAACCAGCACCAATGGATGTTCCATCTGCATGGTTACACCAAATTTCTCACTCATGTTTAGCTCTTTTGGATTAATTCCATGTGGGAGAGACCAGTTGAAAAAATAGATCAAAGAGGCAACAATCAAAGGAATGGTCTTTGCAGCCATGGGAAGGCCGGGGCAGATCCTCCTTCCTGCGCTAAATGGTAAGAATTCAAAGTCGTTTCCTTTAAAATCCAAACTTGAGGTAAGAAATCTCTCCGGTCTGAACTCAAGTGGCTTGTCCCATACAGATGGATTGCGCCCAATAGCCCAAGCATTTACGACTAGTTGAGCATTTTTGGGTACTGTGTAATTCATTACTTGGCCAGTTTCAATAGCCCTGTGAGGAAGCAGCAAAGGTGCAGGAGGATGCAGCCTCAGTGTTTCTTTAGTACACGCTTCAAGATACGGTAGTTGCAACAAATGGGAATTATTCGGGAAATCTTCGTTGATTTCAGTGTCAATCTCACGATGGACATTCTTCATGGCTTCAGGATTTTTCAACAGTTCTACCATTGTCCATTCAACGGTCGAGGTAGTTGTGTCTGTGCCTGCAGCGAATAACTCCTGTCACACAGAAAATGGAAATTTTGTGTTAGAATTGTCCTTGTGGTGACAAAAAACTTCGCATGTTTGATATATAATATTAGATCAAAATAAACCCTTTAAATTTTTTTTCCTGATTCCTAATTCATATTACATAACGGAATGATTTTTCTAAAGCAGCTGAACCATCGAATGATGATGTAAATACATGGCTTTTTACAGAATACAGATTTTTGTTCTTGAATGACTCCATTTTCTTTCTTTCAAAAACAGCGGATGGTGAAAGTTTATAGCAATGAATGAAAAACTCAAGAAATGCTTGACAACATTAGTTTGTAAAAAAAATAAAATTTGAATCTAGCATATCCTGATTGTTTGTTAGCATGACCCCATCAGTTCAACTAACAACCTAGTGCGAACATGGACCTGTAATCTAAGATTATAAACTGGCCTTGGACTGCTCACTTGTTGTGAACTGACACGTGCACAATTTTCATAAATGGGTGGAAGTGAATATTTGTTTATCGGATACGATGCTGAACCATCTTATTTAAAAGCTTAAGCAAACTACCTTACTTTGTGTGTGCATGTAGGGTGGGTTGGGGGTTAGGGCCGTTAGGCAAGGATAAGACAGAAAGCTGACCACAAACAACTGGTTGATCTGATTATAAGAAAAGCCGTTGTCAAGAAGGGTGTCCAAGAAATCTTGACTTGTCGAAGAGTTATTCCTCCCATTTCGCCTTTCTTCAATGATAGGTCCCCATGCAGCACGAATTTTCGCTAACAAAACAGCTACCTTCCTGCGAATACCTTGAAGATCTAGCTTGCCGAGAATTGGATAGAAATCAGATAAATTTGGAGCTGCCAATGCCTCCACATAATCCCTTATAATTCCCTTCATCCCTCCATCCGAATTCTTTTCGTCCAATCCAATAAAGTCTGTCGACATCATAGAATTTCCCAAAATATTAAATACAGTTGCAAAAACTAGATCAGCAATTTTGACCTCCTTTCCTTCCTTTGATCCCACAAACTTGATAAGGCTAGTTATACTTTTCTCTCGCAATCTGGCTTGAGACTCTAGAGCCTTCTTCGAGAAAAGTTCAGCACGACATAATATACGTAAAGACTTCCAATTATCATTGCAATCTGCCCATCCAAGGGACAAATAATTAAGTTCTTCCTTTGTAGCTGGAAGAGCCTTAGGAATATATCGACCTGAGAAAATCCGATCCTTCGACTTTAGAATTTCTATAGCAGCTTCTGGTGATGATCCAACGATTATACACTGAGTTCCAAGTTTTAGAGACATTAAAGGACCATAGATTTTGGCTAAGTTAGCTAGACTAACATGAGGCATAAGTCCTATGTGTGGAATGTTGCCTAAAATTGGCCATGGATTTGGCCCTGGTGGAAGTTTTGCGCTGTTTCTAGACACAAAATAAGATTTTAAGTTTTTGATTATGATAAAGAGTACAGGCAAGAAGAGTGCTGGGAGAAGAAGAAAAGTGTCTTTGATTTCAAGAAATTTAGCCATGAGACTGGAAGTTGCTCTGCAGGAAATTAAGATTTTTTTGCTGCAATCTTCCTTTGAAGGATGCATTTGCTGCAATCTTCACCTAATTCATATTTTGCAATAGTATAATGGGGTCCACATCTGCATCATCAATGTATTCATGTTAGCAGGAAATAATAGTTTAATAATTTTATGATATATATCTTTTCAATTTTGCCCTTACCAAGTACCAACTGAAATTGGGAGAAAGATTGAAGGGCAAATAAGTAAATTTACCATGACAAACTCAGTTACTGTAGAAAACTTTGTCTCACAAAAAAAAAAAATAGTGGCGTCAAAGAGGGGCTTAGGCGGCTAGGACTTTTCTCAAATCTTGACTATCTCGTACTCTGAACCGATCCATCAAGTTACAACACCTTAAGTGACTGGGTTTTGTAGGACTATACAAATTACACCGGAATAATCCAAACTTCATACATGATAAAGAATAAAAAATGATGAAATGTGGAACTGAAAAATTGTCAATCCCGTAGAATATGCAGTGAAAATTAATCTTTCACTTTGACTTTAATTAAAATTTTGATTTTAATCCATACCATATACGGGACGTTATAAATTTTTGCCTTATCAAATGGCTGGAT